TCAATAGAACAATTGAAAAGATAAAGGTTGGAATGCAAAGCCCATGGCTCACACATGGACCCCTTACCTAGTACTTGTTCAGCACAATTAAAAACCTCACATTCCTTTCTTTCCCAAAGAGGCTTCTAAATTAGTCACACAGCAGAAGGCAGACACATATTCACATGAGGCAAAAATGGCCTGACCTTAGATGTGAGTACTTTTGCGCCCCCGCCTTATTTAAACTCATATATAGTTAATATTTTTTTCTTTTCTGTTGTTTTAGAAGTATTTATGAATCTCTAGAGACTAGCAGAAGCAGTCTTGACTGCACAGAAGAGACAATCAGACCAGCTGAATTAAGAAGGTACTGAATTTAATTGCTTATTATCCAGTTATACATAATTCATGTTAATGTAAAATCTCATTTTCATTGCAGCTAAAAGGCAAAGCAAAAAGATAAAAAGATTTGTAAGAACCAACAGGAACTTTCTACAACACTTGCAGAGAATCAGTGTATGAAATCGCAAGCAGTCCAATATTTTGTTCATTAACTCCTAATTAGCTAGTTTTATAAAGAAGAATGAGTACTGTTGGATTACACGTCCTACTGCAAGTCCCCAGCCACTTCCCCTATTGTGTTTATTTTCTCAGAAGCAATAGGATTTAACTCTACAGTGTAAATTACTTCCCAATTTTCTTCCAGAGCAAAGTATATTACATTTCCTACTAAACTGAAAATGAATCCTATCAAGTAGCCACTGTCTTTCAATTTACTGAGAAAAGAGCAAAGAGAAAATATTTTAAGAGTTTGCCTTCATCTGTAAAAGGTTCTGGGTCCAACACCAACTGTTAGATGGGGAAAGCAGGGCCAAAAACAGTGTGGTTGTGCCTTTGTAGGATCAATACTAATTTTCTTTAATATTCACTGGACAGACTACAATACGTATCTGCATCAATTTCCTTTATATGTAAGAGAAATTTACATGTATATTTATATATTTTTAAAAAATAATTCATATTTTCATACAACTTTGAACATTATTCTTTCAATTGGCTTCTTCAGCTTCTACCTAATTGTAGCGTATTCAGCTGAAATCTATAGCAAATTTCTACTTATGCAATTTTAAAAAAATGCATTCAAAATTTTTCCCAACACTGGAGTTTGATTATTGGTGGTGATCAAAGATATATTGTTGTCAGACTTTAAATCTTGACCAAAATGCCCTCTTTTCAACATGGGATTAGAATAACAAATCTCCAAGCCTAATATTTGACAGCAACTTCCTTTTTGACTCGGGTCAAACTAGTGAACTTTCTGCTCTAGTTCTGTTGTTTATGGAACAGAGTAAAACCTCCAAGGGGATGTGGGAAAAGTTGATGAAAAAATGAAAGGCACCAAAGGATCCCATGAAAACACTGCTTTAAAAGCAAAATCTTGAAAAATAAAGGGCCAGAAACCAAAGCTTGTTTTGTAAACAGAATGGCCATATTTTTCCTAAAATTGTCATAGAATATTTTGATGAGTGTTAGCCAGTTATCAAGATCTTAAGTAACAGTTTTAGCAGCACTATTTTTGAAACATGTTTTCTGAGGCTCTTTGAAAGAATTCAGTAGACATTTTCCTGACCAACAGTGCCTTTTCATTAATTTAATTTTAAAAGGTCAGTGGCTACACTGAAAGTTTTAACCAATACTTTCACTATGTTTTATCTTTGTACCTTTCATTTCAGCTTCCAGTGTCTTCACATGGCCATTTCTAGAGAAAAGTGCAGTGAGACCAAAGTCATCTCTGAAGACAGATCCACCTCAGCCTTCACGGATGCAGTGAGTGCACCATGTGCCACTGTACAACACAGAAGCCTCTGCGCAAGGCTGTGGAGACAGCTTCTGAGGGCAGGACAATCCAGCCACAGAAAGGGTATACCTACACAACCAAGGTGTGGAGATCTACAGGTCAGCTATCTTAGAAAGCATGTTCAAGTCTTGAAGTGTGTGTGTTTTTGACACAACCTGTGCTAGTACATCTATCTGAGCAGCTTTGGGAACAGAATGGGATCTCATCCTACAGATGAGGAGCACAGCTGAGCTGGGTCATGACTGCTCACACCCACCCCAATAGATGTCTAATGTTTTATCCACTAAACTCTTTGGCACAACTTGGACATAAAAGTTACTTCTGCAACTAGCTGTGAAAGATGCGCTGCAGAAACAGATAAAAAGTAAGTTTCAAGAAATTCTTGCTCATTGTTTCATTAAAGAATATCCTTAGAGAAGAACTGAAATAAATTATGGTCCTGTAGACTTCACTCCTTCCCCAGGTGCCCCACACTGTTCACTACTTTTCTTTTTCAATACGGAAGACGAGCTCTTTGAGAGCAGACAAGGCAATTCCACCTGTACTGAAGACTGGCCAGCAGTAACTTTCATTGTGGACGTAAAAATGAAGTGGTAATTATTAGGCAGTACTCTTGTCAATAGTAATAATGTAAATAGTCTTAAAAAATATATAAAGGGAAATAACACAAATATGAGACCACGAAATATAAAGCAAGCATTATAGCTTCCCATTTGCATTAATACAAGATTGGTTTTGATCTTGTCCATATTTCAATGTATTTTACAGAAAGTAATTTTAAATTCTGTCTATGTGCTGCCCAGCTGAGGACTGAATACTGTTCCATGATTAAATATGATGACATTTGGCTTTCTAAACTCATGAAGGAAAGATTTAGCAGGGACAAGAGGAGAGCAATTTTGCTCTCTTCCCAAAATTAACATTGCTTCTACCTGTAAATAGAGCACTAATTCTAGTCTACCACTTCAAGTGCAAGGTCTTTGGTTGCACTGCTGCTACCTTGTGTGAGGTTTACTGCTTCCAGACTAATTCTGCATGACAGAAACTCCAAGTTTTAATCAAAGAGAAAGAAACAGAACTACCTAGCCTGAATTCTGCTGGATGTGCCAAGAGAGAAGCGAAACGAGTGATCAGAGAAGGATGAACTGAGGAAGCAATGGCAGAAATAGGTAAGAAGACAGTATTTTCTTCTTCATGTGCAGCACTGCTTATCATTGAGAAACCACATCCTGTCACTGCTGTTGCTTCCCTGCACTTCTTTCCACCTTTGCCTGTACCCGTGCTCACTGCACACTATTAATCTTAAAACTCCATTGGTATTGCCCAAAGTTCAAATATTTTGGAAGATGCCAAGCACATGAGAGGATACTGACATTACACATAGCTCTGTCATTTCATACACTTTTGATAAATACTGAGTCACTTAGCACAAACTGTACAAAAGAGTGAGAATTAAGCACTTTTTGACAGGATACATGCATTACATCAACTACAAAAGAAATGACAGAGGCAATGAAGGACTGTTGGTGGTACTGCACATTGGGACCATTGCATTGCTTACTATTAATGATCTAAACCTTGCAACAAAACTCAAATTTTTTCTGAATTTAACCTTCATATGCAACAAGTATACATGAAAGACTACAAATCATCACCACAGCTAAACACCCAGCAAGATATGTTTTAGAGGTACAACAAACATTTCAATTGTTACAGGTCGCAAATGTATAGACATCTGCCTTGTAATTTTTGAGGAGTAATAGTACCGGTTTACAGAGCCTAAGAGGAACAACTGTGAACCAAAGCTTAAAAAAAATAAGGCATGTTGTAGACAGCAGAGGTTATTAGAAAAATTAAATATGTCCAGAATTGTATTCATTTTTTGTCATCTCCACTCTCAGATTGAACAATAAAAGACATAGAATATAATTCTAACCATAAATGAAGACGACAAAATGTTTTTAAGCTATAGAACCAAGTTTCAAATTTATTCAGAACTCATTGTAAGCTTTCCTCCCACAGAAGGGGTTCAACTTTCCTCTCCTGTGTGCTTTCTCTATTGTATCTAAGCATGGTCCCCATGATTTAGCCAATGATACACAACCACTTCATTTTATTTTTACAATCCCTCACGTTGATGCTGAAGCACACAAGCTAATGCAGGTTTGGCACTGTTAAAGCGATCCTTTCCTGCCATCTAGGGGATACATATTGGCATGCAGAGGATTGTTTTCACAGTTACATACAGGAAAACTTTCTATATGAAATGCTTATCTCTACCCAGCAAAACAAAAATCAACTTAATTGAAGAGTAGCACAACTAACAAGAAACAAACCTAACTGAAGAATAGCACAACTATTTTATAGAGACCATATGCATAACAGTTTAATTCATCAGAACATGGTTTACATGAAGCACTTTCCCAGAGCCTCATTCTCCTGCCTGCACGGTGGGCATGCACACTCTGTAGACAGTGTGCACCTCTCTATTGCTGAGAAGCAAATGATAGAAACACCCAACATCAAAAGGTCATCAAGTTAATTTTAGAAAAAGTCAAAGGTTGTTCCAAGATGCAAGTTCCTATTGCTAGTGTCAGTCATGATTTTCCAACTTGCTCTCTTCACTGTTGCCTTCCGGGCTTTTTCACAGGGCAGACACTACTAAAGGGAAGAGCAAACTCAGCAAAATGCTAAGCATAGTCAAATGCACACACAAAAAATGCAAACAAGTTTTTTCTTCCCCTTCCACTTGGATTTGTTTTGATCTTACTTTGAAAGGGAATGGTCCACTAAAACAAACACCCTTCACTAAACCAAACAAAGACCCATGCTTCTCATGGCTCAAACGATGTGAAAGTCTCTTTCGGATCAAAGTTGGAGCTTCTCCTGGGATGAAAGGAAGCAGGTGTCCAACCACGATGTTTTGTGAACTGGCAGGCTACAGTTGCAGGCCCCGACTCTGTCTCACTGAAGGAGTTGAAGATGAAATGCTTTCCCTGACCCCTACACTTAAAGCGGCCTTGTTACACTACTTTAATACTTCTTCACCAAACAACACACAAACAAACCAACCCCTCAAATTTAACAGAACTCAATTAATGTAATTTTGATTTAAAAAAAGAAAAAAAAAAGAGTAGTTATGTCCAAGTCCTCTTCCAATTACTGTGTGCAGTGTGTTTAAATAGCTGGAAATGATCCCTGGGCTTCGGGATACTCAAGCTCTTTACCACCTAGGCAAGAATTATTTTAATAAACAACAAATAAAAAGCCATGTGGCAACTCATTTACAGCAGTATAATATAAATCTGTATAAGACACTAAGTTCTTGAACTGGAAGACAGTATATGCTTGCACAACACAAACAGAAGCTTGACACTAGGCCAACACTGCAACTGAAAAAAAAATAAAAATAAATCTCTCTCGATATTGTATTGATGGAATTTGTTATTCAAAAAAAAAAAAAAAAGAAAGGAAGGTCTCCTGCAAGATCAGGATAACAGCACATATTTCAGAACAAAAGTCCTAGTGGTGAATAGTAAGCCTTAAATTTGATACAGAACAACTTGAAAAGGTTAAATCTAGAAAACTGCTAGTGTCCACAGGTTCTGGAGGAAGCTGTGACATGGACCCTGAGTGTTAGCACAGCCTACCCAACCAAGCTTCAGGAAATATGCACTCCTGTACCAGAAACTTGTCCAGGTTCAGTGGAACATCCAGCTAGGAGACTCTAGGTCCCCAGGTAAGATGCCAGCAATGTCTTGGAACTGAAGACTGCTCAGGGCTAGAGGGTTAACATGAACACAGGCAAACTGAGAGAAGGTACTTCAGCTATGTAAAAAGAAAATACAAAAAGGGAGGTAACAACGAAATGATATTGGATTTAGCAAAACAGCTGTATTAGGAAAATAAAGTTTCCTTGGTAAAATCTATAGTGTATGACCACTTTTTATTTTGTACAGTACCTCACATGCCTTTGTTAGCATCTTTAGACAAGACAGCACAAGGCGACAATACCTTGGTGAAGCAAGGAACAGGAAAAAATAAAAGGAAAAAATAAAGGACAAGGCTTCCAATTAGAGACAGGATGGCAAGGTAGTAAGGCACCATCAAGAAATCAAGGCAGCTTGCTTCCTAAGCCTGACCTCCAGTGCTGAGTACAGAGAAAAAGCAAAGGTACACCCTGAATGCAAACCTGCCATGAACATACTTGTGAACAGTGGAAAAAAAAAAACTATCATACTGTCCTGGTTTCACTAGGATAGAATCATAAAATAAATTTCCTATTCAGGAAAGCAGCATTTTTTAGAAGACTGCAACACCCAATTTGGTGGAAACAAAGTTGATAAGACACTTTGTTTTAGTTTGTGACCAGCCATGGCAAGCAGGTTTCCACAGTGAAAAAGATCTTAAAGGAGTTTTGAGTTTGCCAGGAGTAAAAGCCGGGAGCAGTGCAAGCCAAGGCGGCTGACCCAAGCTGGCCAGCAGAAGTATTCCATATCATATACATCACACTCACTATAAATTGGAGTTTGCTGAGGATGGCCCTTCTTCCCTCTTTCCTCAATGGTCACCATCCCTGGAGAGTCCTGCCTGTCATTCTGCTCCTGAGCCCGACTTTATCATTCATCTTGACCATCATGCTCTCACTGGAGCTGTGGTGGTGCTTGCAGTGTTCAACATCTAGCACTCACTGCTAGGAGTGCACAGCTCACGACTACTATATGGGCTGAGTATAACTTTGTGTAGTTTATACTAATATTGGTATTAATATTAGGTTTTAATTATTATTATACTGTTTCCATTTCAACCCATGGGTCTCCTTTCCTTTTCCTGATTCACCTTCTCAGGTGGGAAGGGGGCACTGGGTGAAAGAACAACTAAATAAATGGAGACATACAATTCAGGACCTCTCAAACAGATTGAATGTTGCACTTAATGAAGTAAATTATTAAAAACGTCACATTCACACAAAAGGAGAAATTTTGTGCCTATGAAAGCTAAATATAAAGCTAAATAACTATCTACAAGTCATATTTTGTCCAGAAGCTTATTAAAAAAACCCAACAAAAACAACAAACCCAGGAAAATGAAAACAAATGAAAGAACAGTGTCAGAAAAATTACTCAAAGTGCACAAAAATAAAACAAGTAATTTTTCATCAGTTTTGTTTCCATCCAAACCCATATTTTGGTGTCTGTGACAATATTTACATGGTAAAATCACTACCAGTTTGACTGAAGAATTTTATTTTAAAAACTGGAAAAAATTCGAATGGCATGTTTTACAGAGGACACTTTGGTTTATGAAGAGCAAATTAACTTTCCAAAAATTCAATGTAAGAAATTATAATAGAAAACACCTGAACATTTGCAAGCTACAGTAACTGTGAACTGTAGAGTAAAAAGAGGAAAGAAAACTCGTTCCTTCTTAACCCTAAGTGACTCACTTGTACATGCTAAAAGGTACAAGAGGAAAAGCAACTTTTTATGGTCACAAAATATTATTTATCATAGTAAATGGTTTTCACTTACCATATACTACTGAAGCAGATAAAACAAAAGAAAAAAAAAGAAAAAAAAGCTAAACAAAAGACATAGCAATGATACCAATCCCAACACTATTAGCTAGCTTGGTTTTTTAGCATTTATTTATGCAATATGGCTTTATTCAGTCTTAAAATGATTAACAGGGAGGGAAACATTAAATTACTGGATCTACTCAGTAACAACAGCTAGATTACAGACAAACATCAGGGAAGAGGAAAGGTGAAGTCTTATCGTAAGACTCAATTCCATTTCAAATAAACTAAGCAAGTTAAGTGAAGTAAAAGTCTGCAAAAAAAGTCTGCAAAGACTACTTTCAAAAAGCTGCCAAATCCTGCTAACCTCATCCAAGCATGACAAAAATTGCTCAAAGATGCATGCTCATAGAGGCTGCTGAACAAATCAGAACTACTTCTCTCATAATATGAGCATCTGTTTTATAAATTAGACTGTAACATGCACAACATTTACTTTATTAGAGTATCCTGTATTTTGAGTAAATGATTCCGGAGAAAAATCTTTGTGACACTTTACTCGAGAATGTTTTTAAATGTTTCACATTTGTAATTTCCTCTAAGAAGCTGATTAACACAGATCTTTGAAAATATTCAGCATTTAATATACTGTTCACAGAGTGCAAAACTACCTGCAATATATTTCCTACATATAGATTAACAAAAATAAATGCAGTGTTTGGCAGTGTAAAGACATATGCAGTGTTCTAAAGCACCCCATTGTAAAAATTAATCAAACCACTTTGAGTTTAACAGGATCTGTAGGTGATTGAAAATAAAGTCCCCAAAACTCCACACCAAGCCAATAAAAAAAAAAAACAACCAAACCCACAGAATCAGTGCTGTGAACGAGCAGATACTAGACATGGAAAGCTGTTGTAGAAAACGAAGTAGTAAGGCAACCAAAATCACAGCTACTGTCAAGAATGTTTCCTTCTCTACAGGTACTCAAAGGTCTTGAGTGTTAAGGAATTAAAAGAAAACTTCCATTATTCTGATATTCTATGGTCTACAATCTTACCATTTCCTCCTAATCCAAGTTAGATTTATTACCTCAGGTGAAACTGCATTTAGTATTCAAACTATAGATTTACAAATGGTTTTACTTGAAAAAAGTGTTAAATACAAAATATTGCCTTTTTTAAAAAGAAACAACAAATACCTATACATCCAGACTGCTTTTTATATTCAGGACTACATTCCTTATTACACAAAAATAAACCTAAATTGCAAACTGAAATTATTAAGTCACCAAATAAGAAACCTCATTCACAGTACCATTTTATTTTTTCCATTTGTAATTTGCTTCCCTAGGAACAAAACAAATCTTATTTTCTCACATTAAAACAGCCATTAGCATGAACATAGGAGCAAAAAGCTTTAGTATCAGTTTCAACCTTGCCTCATGTTCCTCTTTTCTTTAAGCATTTCTTTCCAGTAATCCAAATTATTTTCTGAGCATTTTGACCTGACAACAGTCTCTCATATACGTGACTTTTGCTAACCAGCATTAATATACACTTTCATTCAACCAATCACTGTTTCCACATGTATTCAAAGTCTTCTTTTTAACACTTCTGACAACATATTTGCTATTTTTAAAATGCCATTAAGCTTTGTTCAAATAAAAATTGAAGCAAATTTAAATTTACAAAACTTAACATTTTATTAAAGTAAACTCAGTGTGCTTGAATTATCAAAACAAGATATAAGAAAAACATTTTGTCATTAAAGGCCTACAGTCGATAAGCAAAATGATTCAGTAACCAGACTCCATGTGGCTTTTAGGCATGCAAAAGTGCAGAACAATGATTCTAAAAAGCCTGTCAAGCATTTATGCCAGTTCTATACGTGACTGCTGCCGGGATTTTGCTAGGAATTGAATGTCTGCTACTGTTTTTGTGTGGGGTGGTGGTGTTGTTGTTGTTGGGGTTTTTGGAGTTGTTTCAGTTTTTTTTGTTTTTTTTTGTTTTTCTCAGTTGTTTGGCATTTGGTGGTTGGGGTTTTTTGGTCTCCAATGTTCTCAATTAACTTCATCCATAGCTTTAGATATTCTTTACAAATGTAACTTCATCACCTTCAAATTGAATTAAGTTATTAGGTCCAATGTTTCACCACCTGTTTTTCAAATGGAGAGTCTCTACTTTTCCAACTTCCAGTTGAATGGATAATGTGAACATCATCAGAAGTTCTCTGCTACTGCAAATAAGACTAAAAACACTAATTAAGGCAAAATATTTCTCTGCAACAGAATCTGAACACATATTTGATAGTAGCTAAATAAATGTCAAGATTAGCTTCACTCTGAAATCTACAGATACAGCACCATGATTTTGTTTTGTTTATCAATCTGGCTTCCCTTTTGATTTTGCATTCATGTAGAAAACAGCACTCTCACTAAAAGGTGAGGAAAGCTCACGTATACAGTATTTAAAATTTTAACAGATTACAGCAAGTCTACAAATAAGACTGGGTGCTGTGATTTCAAATTTCATTATCCAGAGGTTTATTATTAAAAAGGTAATCAAGTTCTAAATTACTAGACCAGCACTTAAAAACAATTTTTTAAGCACTATACAGAGATGTATTTTCAAGTAAAAGAATCATATCCTAGAGCTACTTACCAGAGAAGCTGAGAATGAATAGATCTCTTAAGGCATAAATTCAATTACATGCCAGATTAAAACCCACCACAATATTAACTATAACTAACTCGTTCAGCATTTAAAAATTTGCATTCATAACTATTAACTCCTGTGCTGGCTAGAACTCTACTGATGTTCCAGGAAGCCTAGATGGAGATATGGTTATCCTTAGAGGCTAAAGCTATGCCAGAGTAAAGTCAACCTACTCACTACTTTTTAGTTATTAAACAAACTGCGCTCATTTATGTTAGTAAGTTATATAAACTATTTAAAAAGAGGAAGTATGAAATACTGACAATGACAAAACAGATTTTAAAAAGCTATTATTGAAAAAGTTAGAATACATATCCAGAGGAATTTCAATGCTTAAAACCAGATTCACATATAGTTCATCCAGTTGAAGATTAGTGTATTAAAAAAAGTTAAGAAAATACTTTGTGTTTCAGTTCAACTGCACTTGATTCAAGTACAACTTGGGGGTTGGCTGATATAAATTAAACATGGTCACTGCCTCAGCAGTCAGTACAGAAAAATGTACATGTTCACAGGATAAATAGAAGTCCCTTCTTTTGAGAAAGAAAAAAAAAAAAAAAGCAGCTATCTCACTCCAATGCGGGAGGTCATCCACTCCAAGCCTTGGCATAATCTGAAAGACAAGAGATGTTATGTTTACACTAGTTCAATTCCAACATCTTTAAAGTATTTTCTACTTGTTTTTATATTCAAAAACATCTACTTAAAATAAATAAAATCAGCTGGAATTGGAACTGAATCTTGAACAAACAGTGTTTTAAACTAAGTCTACTTAGGCTTTAACCACAAGAAGATGGTCAAGCACACTATTTTATTGAAGCTTAGCACTCTTCCATTTTTTTTTCTCCTTGTGAATCTAAAAGACACTATTCTTAACATGCTTACTCATAAGTACATGGAACCAAACAAGTTTTTCTCTTTCTACAGGTTTCCCATGAAACACTGCTTACTTGACAGCTAAAGCTTTACATACTAATACTATAAGACAAAGGACAGGTTACCCAGAGTGAATTATTTTGCAAAAAGGCAATAGAGAAAGAATTCCAAAAACCCATGACAAAATTAAAAATACCTTTATATTTAACACCAAGATTGCATGGGATCTAATCTGCTTACTCACTCAATTTGCATTTCTATTTAAAAGTCTTCCATTTCAGAAGACAGGCTTTCCTCTGATTTTCTAGGGATCTAGTTATGTAGTTTATGCAAACTTCAAACTTCACCTTTGTAAAGTAAATCATGACTTTGCTATCCAAGTCTAGCTTCACTCACATGGGGCTAATCTCCCCAGACTCCTGTCAGATCTTCCCAAATATTCAGCTCAGTGATCTAACTCGGAATTTTTATGCATTGGTCTTACTGCTGTCACAATTCTAATTATTCACCTTTTTTAAAAGAAAGCAGCATCCTAGATTCTATACCAAAGTTCATGTTCATTAATTACTACCTTCCTATGAATGCCAACTTCTTTGAACATCTAAGTTAGTGCATAAACTGAATACTCAAATGCAACTTTGGCAAAACTGGTAGGAGGCAAGCAGACTTAACATTTAGAATGAAATGATCCAATCCAAAGACTATCAAAAAACCCCAGTTTGTTCTCACTAATACATCCCACCCTAAGGAAGTGAATGCTACCAATCACTCTGGAAGACATCTCCATTACATTAGAAAATACTTCATGTTAGAAGTGAGAAAGATGCTCTCACTTCCCAGATACTCAGTTGGATTCACTATTTTTCATGTCACAAAACTACATTATTGTAAATGTTGAAACACAGGTGAAAAACCCCTCTAACTATTACACATTACAAAACTACTTTAAGAATCAAGATGACAAATTAGCATGCTTCAAGCCATGTAAACAAGACACTATCCAACTTGTTACAGACATCCAAAATGGTTTTTGATCTTTATAGAAAAAGAGCAAAGCCCAGCTTTCAATTGTAGTAATTGCTGGCATAAAATACACAAATTTCAAAATTAGCTACATTAGCCAGATATAAGCAAAAGGTTTAATATTGGCAACAATTTCGTTTCATGGCAGACCTATGTACCTTTTCATCAAAACTATGTTTGAATGTTGATCTAAAAACCCCACCAACCAAAACAAACAAACAAACCAAACCCCAAAACCACCCCAATTCCTGCTCCCTCACACCTTAGAAGCTTATGGTAGATCAGAATGTAAAGGGAGAAGACAGTAGCTTATTTCTTAAGCTACACAAAGACACACACAATGAGAGGGTAACACACAGAAAGTAAACAACTACGCCAACAGCTATGCATTTGGGTGAGGGGGGTATATAAAAGTCTTTCACCCAAATTTGGAGGTTTTTTCCACAAAAATCCACAAGGTTCAATAAAGAAAACAAAGAATTCAAATGTCCCTCTGACTGCAAGGACAGAAACTATGTTCTTTGACGAAATCCATATTGGTGCCAATGGGCTTTCAAATCGGTATTCTCATTTACCATATATTACTATACTAAGCAGTAAGCATTTACCCTTCTCCTGTCAAAGCACAACAGGACTGAATGTGCCAAGGGTGATCCTTTATGGAGCTGAGGGTGAGGTATGTAGATATCTCGGCAGCTGTCATGCAACCTTTCATGTCCTGCTTGTTTGCGAAGATGAGAACTGCAGCCTTCCGTAAATCCTAGAAGTAATTTAGAGTATTTATAATAGTTTTTATAAAGAATTAAAAAACTATTGTGTTAACTAAATTTCTTAAAAGAACTGTATTCAAGCTAATCTACAATTACACTGCAAGATAGAGTTCTAACAGACTTACTGCAGTAAAAATTAATGACACTAAGACTGAAGAAATATATTTATTCAGAAACATTCTCCATCACAGAGAATCAATTTATAACATATTATATGACTATCCTTTTGGTGTTGACCACATTTTCATTTGTTAACTTATAAAAGTCCTGTTACAATATATTTCATAAAGCCCCAAACCATCCAGCCAGCAGAATCATCACTGCATGAACATTCCAGAATCTACATTAGATACTATTCAGATGGAAATGCCTCCTAGATATCACTGAAATTACTTCCAACTTCTTTAATGAAGTTCTGTAGTGATTAAAGAAGTAACAATTTAAGAAAGCTGTCTAAATTCTTTTAAGTTTTATCCTGTTCCAAAAAGGGAGCTCTAGCAGCAGCTTTACTAAAAACAGAAACTAATAAAAAGTCATTTTGTTTCTGTATGGAAATTATGATTCTACACAGCAATAAGACAAGAAATGGGATGTATGGTTTTAGGACTGCAGGAGGGTAAACAAATGCAATATGCAGAAATCTGGCAGTTTTAATTAGAAGTGTTAAACCTATTTCAATGTATATTAAATTTTGAGACTATTTCTCCAGTCCAGGCCTACCAACTGTTTTCAAGAGATGGTAGATCACAATCTTATAAGAGTTTATAACACTGAAAACTAATAAACTCAATGAGAAAACTTCACAAAAAGTAATCTTTCCACCTTTTTTGGTGCTGTATTTGCTCCTTACTACCAGATCCAAACTGCATTAATATCAACTGTAAAGTAAAAACTTAACTCATTCGAAACAATGCAAATCTCTCAGAGAAAAGAATTCAATAGAATTACCAAATCCTTTTCCTTCAAAAATGAAGGAAGATGTTTAGATTTAAGCCAACCCTAGCTTAGCTTGAGACTGATCACAGAACTTTTTAATGTACTTTAGCGAATCCAGTGTAGATGCTAATTTAGGATAAGAGAGTTGATCCAATGTTGAATAGTCCTCAATATATAGTAATAAAACTACGATCAAAATAATTGAGAAGGAAACTGAACTGAAACTAATTAATCCATAGTAGTATATATACACTCCTTAATTTTAAGGGACAGGATTAAAACAAATAAAGAGAGAAATGGAATTGCCTACTTTGTAAAATAAAAATAAATTTTTAAAAAAGTTTCTTGAAATTTTAACCATTTAACTGAAAGAGAGATAGCAGTGGAGAACAGTAAATACCCAGTTGCATTAATATCAAGTTTAAGATACAAGTTCAACATTTGCAATGTAAAGATTATAATCAAGCAAATCCTATCAGAAGAGTGTTTCATAATAATTTTCCTGTTTATTTATAATTTGCATGGTTTTAAAATGTGACCAGTATGCATGCACATTTAGGCTCAGAAATTTTTTTGTGAGTACAATTTTTCTTAACATAGGAAGCATGTAATGTTATTTGACTGTTCACAACAAAACTATTATCCTGACTCCCCAACATACCTCATGAGCCAGCATTCTATAAAGTTCTTCTTTTGTAATAGAAAGTCGTTCTCTATCAATGCTGTCAACAACAAGAATGATGAACTAGGGGAAAAAAACAATAGTACAGTATAAGTAAAAAGTAGAAATTATAGAAAATACATTTTCAAGAGACTGTTACCACAGGTCTTCCCATACAAGAGAGACATAGACTTTCAGAGCGCATTAGAAAATAGAATAAGAGGTTTATTGTTACAGTCTTTTGCTACAACCCTGGGAATCATACATGAAGACTATAGTTAAAAAAAAAATAAAAAGTTGTGCTTGTACATTTCAGCAGTGCTATTAAGATCAACTTTCATGAACTACAGTTAAATCTCTTCGGTGGATTTTTCAGGCACTTTGTCAAAAGCAAAGTAGTGATGTAAGTACCAAAAGCACCTACAGATAGTGAATCACAATTGTTATTAGTAAGAAAATCACTCCTTTTTACCCCATTCTCTCTGCCCATTGTTTTGTACCTCCTATTTTACAGCCCCACACCAGAGAGGTATAGTGGGTTTTCTGTGAAAGGTTTTTGGTTGTGT